GTACTTAAAATAGACAAAAATTTGAAGCCCCATTTCGCCCCGGTCGTATGCTGCAAAAACGTTGCGGCGAGGTCAACTCCATTGATGCCTCTCCGCGGCAGGCCAATCCGGGTCTAACCCTCTGAACGGTCGGAAATGTCAGTCCCTAGACATGCCGAGTGCAGCCACCCATCTCCCCATCTTTGAGGGTTACTCATAAGGCTCAGTGGGCCCAAAATCAGGATTGCCCTGAGTTCCCCTAATTTTTTGCTGCCTGGTCATACGAGACTACCATCAAAACACGGATTTGTCCGTGAGCCTAAGTCCCAAAATTGCAGATCTCAAGCGGCGCACTGCTTGTGGCCGCCTGACAACGTGTCTAGACACCGGAGAACAGCTAACACTTCTTTCTTGAATTGACTGTAGTTACGCTCAGCCGTATTAAGTGTCCTATTCTGAAATCTTAACGGCCTTTCCTTCCCTCCAGCGTCCTTCTCAGACAGCAAACCACCTACAGAACATGGTCCAACATCCGCGGAAACTATGAAGGGTCTCTCGGTCTCATCATCAAAGAATGGCACGCCCAACACGCGTCCTCCCTCCTTAAATTCGTCTTTAAGTTCTTGCATAGCAAGTTCCTCCGAAGAATTCCAATAGAAGTTCTCAGTCTTTCGTAGGAGTAACCTCAATGGCTCAGCCTTTTCCGCATACCCCCGTATGAATATACGCCAGTAACTGACCACTCCCAGAAACTGTCGGACCTCGGTCAGGCTACGTAACGGTGACGGCCAGTTTAGGAGTTTTCTAACTTTGCCAGATCTGCTCGGCGTCCTCTCGAGTCACAGATGAAGCCCAAGATCTTAATAGTCGAGACGGCCCATCGGCTCTTTGTTCCGCTGACTGTTAAATTCGCATCGTCCAGCTGCTCGAGTACGGCGCAAATATCTATTAGGTGCTGCTCGACGAATCTTCTAACCCCAGGTACAACCTCTGTTTCATCCCTGTCTACTGACCCTTTTATAGGAAAGTCATCCAGAAAAACTTCAACCTTATCAGGGATGAAGTTCTTGAGGACGGCTACCATGGCTCTCTGAAAACCGGCTACCCCATTAGTCCAACCCATAGGGACGACCATCATCTGAATTAGTCCCAATGGCGTATGCATAGCCGTGAGGTGCCTGTCCCTAGGTTCAAGCGGTACCTCATCATAGCCTGAGAACAGATCACAGACCGAATAGATCGACCTACCTGCTGCGCCTTCTGCCAGTAAATCGACGTGTGGCACAAAGCCCACGTCTCGTATCGTCACCGCCTTGACCTTATGAAGGTCCTGGATCCATCGGATCTTGCCATTCGGCTTACGCAGGAAGAACCATCGATTTGCATAAGCACTATCAGACGGCTCCGCAACGTGGGAAACCATCTTTTCTTTCAGAAAAGCGATAACTTCTTCCTTCTCCTTCTGGGCGTACTTCCATCCTGCGTCGTTCCAGGGAACATGTGGTATCGTGTAAATCCTTGCTGGCTTAGCGTATCTAGGGTCAATCCTACCGCGTTCCGCGTCGCTGAAAGCTATTGCCTTATCACACGTCTTCAGAATTTCTATCACACGCCCTCGCTCCTGTGGAGTCAGATTTCCATCTCCGATGTCCATCCCTGCTAT